TTTTCTCCTTGAAAACCCACCAGTTAGAATGAAAAAGGCCTCGCAGCTGAAGCCAGAGTTTTCAGCAGCAGATGTCACAGCTTGGGCTGCAGTCGGAACTGTCACTTCCCTGTCATCTCGAACTGGAGGCTCCCAAGGCCTCTGACCGCCTTCCACTCTGCAGTTTGCGAAGTGCAGGGTTTGGAATGGACCATCGGGTGTTGCTCTTAGGCTGTAATGACACTTGGCATGACTCCTTCTCGTTACAGGCACTTAGCTAATCCCCAGAGCGCACTGGGTAAACATCTCTGAGTAGTTTGAACCACACACAGGTCAGGAGGTTTCTGGAAAATAAACACTCTTCCTGCCAGTCGGAAGTGTTTGGGACTCTAGTCTTTGATTCGATATGTGGTGGAGGCTGCAGTTGTTTAATAATCCTTCATGATTCAACAGCTCTTCACAAATTTGCCTCCATCCTTGCGTGGCGCTCCTGACAGGTGGTGGTGGGGAGCTTCGGCTCTGGCTCCTGACAGGATCAAGCCTGATTCCTAAGTCCCAGGGCTTCTGGTGATGCCCTCCTTCATTTCACGATGCCGCTGCCTGCGTGTTAAGTGCCCCGAGCCGCGTCGAGCAGGACCGCAGGTGCCTCCTTTGCCCTGGCTCCTCCCGCCTGGCATTTCTAGCAGCATTTTTCACAGTGTTAGCATGCTGGTTTTTTTTTTCCTTAATTTTTCATTGTTTTATTTGTACTTACACATGTAATGTATGATTCTCATTATAAGAAATTCAGACAATGCATGACATTAAAGATCCCTTTGATTGCACCGCTCAGTCAAGCTCTGACGTGGAGGTAACGGCTGCTATACATTTGGGGTGAATCTTTCTAGATTATATTCTGTAAGTATGTATATTTTATTTATTTTCTTTGTACTTAGAAATATTAAATCATACACGCAATTTGAGGCACATAAGTGTAATCAAACTGTGCACACTTTCACCCTTCACTGAGTGTCCTGTGTGACTGGCCAACTCGTCCGGTCCTTCTGCTAGAAGGAGTGTCTTCGTCTGCTCAGGCTGCCGTAGCACAACTCCACAGATGGGCTTCAAGAACACGAATGTAGTTTTCATGGTTTCGGAGACTTGGTGGTCTCAGATCCAGGTGCTAGCATGGTCAGGTGCTGGTGAGGGCTCTCTTCCTGCCTGGCACACGGCTGCCTTCTTGCTGTGTGCTCATGGGGCCAGGAGAGAGGGACACAGCAAGCTATCCTATGGCTCTTCGTGTAAGACCACTGATCCTGTCATGAGGACCCCACCCTCATGACCTCACCTAGCCCTGATCACCTCCCAAAGGCCCCACCTCCAACACCATTCTGTGGGTGTCTAGCTTCAGCAGAGGTGTTTTGGGAGGAGGCAGCCGAGTCCCTAGCAGGGTGCTCTGGATGGCCGAGTGTGGACGGCTCATCTCTGCCTGATGGGGCTGTGCTCCCTGCAGGCCTTGGAGTTGGTGACCGGCCCTGGTATGACCCAGGGTCGGTGTCCTGTCGGGCTTGTGTGTGCTCCTCTGCATGCTCCACTGCATCTCCTGCGCTGACCTCTGGGCTGAGACGTGGCTGTGTGAGAGTCCACAGGTGTGGAGGGCATACTTGCCTTGCTCTTTGTGCCTAGTCCTCAGACCTGTGTGACTGGGAGAGCGTGGGTGGAAAAGACACGTACATGCATGTAGTATGTACACACGTATGCACATGTTGACTTCTCATTCTCTGCCGCAGGCTGGAGCATTGGCCTTAGGAGTGCCATTGTGTGGCCTCTCGTGTGCCTCTCTGCTGTGCGGCGGGGAGGACCGACCACACCTTCATTGTCAGGCTGAGGAGGTCTTGGGGAGCGTCCCCACGTTTTGTGTGTCTGTGTGAACAGCATTGGGCTGATCTTGTGACCAGAGGCCAGAATGAGTACCCCAGCCTCGGGACGGCCTCACAGGCAGGCTCTTCTGTGTAACTGCCTGAGAGGCTGCTCTGTGAGCCTGATAGTGTAGCGTGATGTGTTCACCTTGTCAGGACTGGTCATCGTGGTCTCCAGTCCTATGGCTGGAAAGTACAGTTAAAAACATTGTTGAAAAAGTTCTAACAACGAAATTAAAGAAACTTTTTGCAAAATAAAAAAATACCAGGAGCGGTGCAACTGTAAATACGGCACTTGTTTGTTTTGTGAGCATTTTCTTATCTCCATGCAGATTTTAATACAGTTACATGTAACCTTTTCTCCGCCTTGGTTTTGTTTTCTTCAGTTAACCTTTTAATTTTGTGTGTGTGTGTTGTTGTTGTTGTTGTTAAAAAGGCAGCATTAAAAATACTTGCAAACGGAGCCAGACCCTTGCTGCTCCCAGGTTCCAAAGCGTTCAGGTTCCTGCTGGGCCGAATGAGGCTGGACTGACCAGCTGGGCCAGAGGCCTCCTGGGTGCGGCGTCATGTAGGAATGGTCAGGGAGCAGAGCATTTCGTGCAGGGGCCATTCATTTGAACTGTTTTCAGTTCTCCCCTTGCCATTAAATTGTTACCTTTCAGGTGATCTTTACTTCAGTGGGAACTGCAGAGCTTCAGGTAGCAGTGAGTCTGGCCCTTCGCTGTCCCAGCTTCCTGGGCGAATTTGTACTTGGGGGCAAGAAGCTCGTTTCTAAATTGGCATCAGTGCTCCTCACTCTGCTTCCTGCTCTGCAGGTTTCGGGAAGGCCTCTGCATAGATGGGTATTGCAGATAGCTGGTCCTTGGTGAGAGGAAGCCATCGCCTGGTGGGTGAGAGCCCCAGTGACTCTGGCTGTCTGGCAGATGCCTGTCTACTGGCTCTTCAGGTCGGAGGAGACGTGGCAACAGAGGGTGGTGGCAGCAGCAGAGGGTGGTGGCATGCAGCGGCCATCACCCTAGCTCCCAGGCTGAGCTGGTGGTGCCAGGCACACAGGGGCTGGGAGGCAGCTTTGCAAATGTGGACATAAGCCATTTGTGTTTATTTGTTTTAAATAAACTTTTCCTGTTGACTTAGTAACAATTTACATACCCCTCTGACTAATGCAGAAAAATGAAAAACAAATATCTCTTTTAAATGTTTCGGAAGAAATTATGTCTTGGCTTGGAAAGGTTTATTTATTTGCATACTTATATTTGCACCAGTATTTTTAACTCTCTTAGGTTGGAAAGCTTTAGAAAGCTATGAAAAGAGTGGTAACTGGCGTTCAAGGTGGGACTCACCTTTTACTGCCCCCCTAGATTTCAGTTTCTCCAAAGATGTTTTAGTAATAAACATTTTCCCCATTAAACTGTTTTCTAATCAGCAGTTTGCTTGTATTTAGGGAGGAATGGATACAAATCCCTGCACGGTGCCTGGTGATTCCATATCCATTCGTGCCATGCCCTCGTATCAATCCACACAAGGGGCCTTCCTCAAGGTGGTTAGAAGAGGCATCTGGGGGTGTGGGAGGGAGAACCAAGGCATGCTCTGCGGGAGGAGGCTGCAGTTGGTGGGGGGGCATGTGAGGTGGGTGCTGCTAACAGAGACCCGGGGTGTGTGAGGGGTCGCTGGGGGCTCCTCCTTGGGGTTGGGGGCTGGGCTAGGCTGGGCTGGATTGTAGGACTTCTTGAGGATGAGTTCTTGGGGGCTTTGTCCTAGTGATGGAGACGCTCCAGACACACTTAGACTAATAGGCAGGGAAGATTCCCATCATCCTTAGTGCCATGCAAAAAAGGAATGGCATAGGGAGGGATGTAGGGTGTGACCAGAGGATCTTTAAGGAAGTGACACTTTCCTGGGCATGGGAAGACTTCAGGAGGGACCATCCAGTCACAGGATGAACGGTTGCGGTGTTTTGGGGAGCGCATGGGCTGAGGTGTTCAAGGGATAGAAGAGGCCGGTATGTGGCTCTTGGGAGGTAGAGGGTCTCAGAGGCCCAATGTATAGGCTTTGCTAGCGGGTGGCCAGACCTGGCTCCTGTTAGAGTCCTTGGTTGTAGCATGCTGACCTGAGCAGAGAGGAGCTCCCTGGTGGCCGTGGGGTGGGCGCTCACAGGGCCGACCGGAGGCTCAGAGCTGCTCTTGGGACCTGGCTGGTTCAGTGACCAGTGGCTGTTCTCTGTGTGGCTTTGTGCAGGACTCTGTGTCCATGGGGCATTGGCCTCACTGGTGTGGCTTGAGTCACAACCTCCTTGGCCAATGTAGGGGTCACTGTCACTCACTCAGTGACCCAGTGGTAGTTCCCCTAATGGGGCCTGGGTGGGGCACACACAGCCTTGCCTGGCACTTGCTTTCTGCATGGCCCTGTGCTTGGTTCTGTGACAGGTGGTGGAACGAGCAAGGGTTGGTCCTCAAGCCAAGATGTGTGTCTGGGGACAAGCACATGCCACTGGGAGTAACTTTTAATCTCTCAAATTCCCGTTGCGTGTTCTCCTGAGTTACAGTGTTAAGTTCAAAGATACCGTTCATGTCGAGGTTCCATTGCTGCTTATTAGTGGATTTTGAACCAGGTATTTATAGCTCTGAGCCTCAGTTCCCTTGTTTACAAAATGGAAACGGCAGCAGGGCTGCTCAAATGTTGGCTGAGGCCACTAGTCTGAAATAGTTTTGAACATTATGAAGCCCATATTGCACATGTGGGGACATGTTGTTGCTCTTGCTGTGGTTATAGGGCGTGTTTTGGAGGAGAGGTGAGGAGAGGAGACCAAAGCTACTGGGCACTCCTCTTTGCCAGGCACTTGGCAGGTGCTTTGTAAATGTTACTTCATTCCCTCTGCATAGTGACACTATTTGCTGTAGATTGTCCCTATTTTTGCAGGTGAAGTAAGATGAAGGCTTATAAAAGCAATTTGCCTAGTGTTGCGTAGCTAGTGGCAGGCTGTGGTTAAACCTGGGTCATGGTGAGAGCATACCGCCCTGGAAACAGAGCAGCTATGTGCATTGTTTTGGGCCTTCTATTTTGTATGCAGAATTAGATTTACTTTGACGGAACAACTGGAACTGAGTGTGTCTTCTTATTCCTCAGGACTCCGGAAGACCTTTCCAGATTTGTTGTCGAGGTGCAGCAGAGAGAGCTTGCCTTGAAGGATAAGAACAACACCATCACCAGCAGGTAGACCTGGCAGCCTGGGCTCATGGGGAAGTGTTTGCTTGGGAGAGTTAGAGCAAGGGAGAGGGGGTGCCTGCCTGGCTCACGTGGAAACAGCCGTGCTTCCCCATTTGGTCCAAGATGGGGTGGTGGGAGCAGGGGTTTGAGGGCCGAAGTTGCCCCATGTTTCCACCACGTGGCTGCAAGACTGAGGCACCATTGTGATTCTGACAACGTGCTAAATTGCCACTGGGTCCCTGGGGATCTGCTTCCTATGGGGTCCTGCTTGGATCCGGAGCATTCTCGTCTTTCTGGCAGTGTGTGCGCTCCCTCGGACTTCATCATGGTGTAGAAACGTGGTCCCTGGAGGAAAAAGTGTGTGCATACGGGCTTGCGGCCTCAAGGAGGGCCTACAGAGACTATCCCAACAGTCCGCATGCCTTTGCAAATAACAAAGATGTCCCCCAGCAGTCAGCAAGTCTGTTTCCCAGCCTGGCAGGCGGGCAGCTGTGTGGCCTTGTCCAGGGCCTCCTAACACCAAGTGCATGGTGTCTTTTCCAACTCTGACTCCAGGTGGGTGCGATTCCATTTATTTCTGACACTACCAGAGTTAGGACAGCCCCTTAGGTTAAGGGCTTGGTCCCACAGTCGCCCCCACTTCAGTTGTCACTCACAAGTGTTGGATTCTCGAGGGACCCCATGACTTCCTCCTCTGGTTTGATAATTTGTTAGAATGACTTACAGAACTCAGGGGAGTGCTTTCCTTCCTATCCCTGGTTTGTCGTGAAGGATACAACTGAGGAACAGTGTGTACAGTGCGCGGTATGGGCAGGGTGCCGGGCTCCTCTGCCCTCTTCAGGAATGCCACCGCACAGAAGCTCCTCAAATCTTGGAGTCCAAGAGTTTTTACAACCTAGTCTCCAGCACCTCACTGTCCTCCCCCAGAAGCTCCCACCCTCTAGTCACATGGTCTTTGGTGACCAGCCCCATTCTGAACTCTCTAGGGGGCCACCCTAAGCCACTTCGTTAGCATGGGCTTGGGTGTGATAGAAAGGGGTGCTTTGTGAATGACAGGAGGCAGGCACAGAGCCCACATATGTGTTTCTCTTTGTCCATACCTGGTTCTTCTGGTGTCTCGTGACTGTGAGGAGCTGCCAGGCAGAGAAGAGGTCATCTTTCTTGGATCTCTTTTCTGGAACTAGGAAACCGTCTCTAAGACCCCCACTGTCAGCAGACCTTCTTAGGTCTCATCAGCCAAAACTGGGCTGTGGCCTGTCCCAGACCAGCTTCCTGCAAGAGAGGGTGAGCTGCCAGGCTGAGCTGAACCCAGTCCGATTCGTGGTGGAGGCTCTTGAGGCACATGGATGGTGGCACGGGCTCTGGCCTCCTGCAGGGAGCGAGGCAGAGGGAAGGGACGTGCGGTGGGACCAGGGCAGGAGCTCCCTCTGCCTGCACGGCTGACCGCTGGTCATGGGTCTGAGAGGAAGGCCTGGAGCCACCCTGCTCGCCACTGGCTGTCAAGCACAACCTCGTCCTCCTGTGGAGACAGTGCTTTAATAATTTATTCATAGCCAGAAGGAAGAGTTTCTTATTTTGGGGGCTGATGTCACTTTGAAAATTGGCTTTTAGAAGCATCTGGTTATGTTGGACATAATCACATCAATTTACTTAAAAAACCTCAAATGATAAAGATTGCCTTTTGCTTTCAAAGCCACTGTCAGATGAAACGGGCATTAAAAGTGATTTGAAATTAAAGCTCTACCATTTGCCAGGCGATCCTCTTCATTTTACTTTGAATATGAAACAGAGTGAACTGTTAAGAGAAAGAATACTTGTTTGTATTTTTCTCCCACCACACAGTGAGGTACTTTCTAAAATTACTTGCTTTGACCAGTGACAGCAGGGCCAGCCTCTGTGTCCAAGGAGCATGTGGGAGGAAACACTGCCGCCGCATGTCTCCCCACCTCCTCCACTTTGGTCATCAATGTGGACTGGACCAGCCCACCTCTCTGTGGGACTGGAGTCTCTACCCCAGGGAGTAGCCTCTGCAGTGGGCATGTGTCCTCATGACCCCTGGCCCCTTGTCCACCTTGCAGGCCCCATGGGTTCCCTCTGAGGGTCTGCAGCTGCCTTGGGCGGAGGGCGAGTCTCCGCACTGCGGAGGTGTTGGTGCTTTGTCCTCTTCTGCGGGATGGGTCTTGGGGAGTTGGGGTGAGAGCCCCAGTACTGCCCTGCCTCGCTTGGAAGGCCTGTCTAGGAGGTCAGAGGGAGAAGCCACACTAAAATCACAGGGCTCTTGAACTTTTCCCAGAATTAGTTTCATTTTGTGTCTGTGTGCTGTAACTTCCCTCAGCGTCTTCAGTCAAAGTGCCAGCTCCTGTTGGTGAATCTCACTGTGGCCAGCCTGAGAGCTATGCTGGAAACCGTGCTCTTGTGGGGGCCATGGTGAGACGCAGGTGGCCTTCGGTACTGAAGTTGGGGTTCTGGGGTCTGCTGGTTGCATTACTCGAGCAGGTTTCTGACGCTGTCTTCATCTCTGCCCGTCAGCCGAAAGGCGCTGGGGGTAACCAACAGGTCGTATGAAGTCTCAGCCGTTTGTGCGTCACACCCAGGAACCGAGATGTCCTGAGATCTTGGTAGCTGCTGCTTGCTGCAGAGTTGGGGGGGTGGACACTTCCAGACAGAGGTGACGTGGGGCCCCTGGTGAAGCTCAGGTAGGTGAGGACCCTGCCAACCCACCTGCCAAGCACCTCCTGCGTGCTTGGGACTGGGATTCCCAGGAAGACAGGGTGCCCTGCCCTTGCATTCACTCCCAAGGCCCAGGAAGGAGACAGACCCCAGGATGGGGTGGCGCTGGCCACAGCTGTGGCCACTGAGATCTGGATTATTCCGGCTTTGGCCTCGGCACGTGTGTCCTGGGCTGGCTGTGCTAGCCTTGTGCCCTTGGCTGCTGTTCTCTGAGGTGGCACGGTCCATTGCTGTCCGTCGTGGCTTGCTGTGGGGGGTCAGGGAACCTCAAATGGTGGAACAACTAATTGTATTTCCAAGTCTTTTAGAGGCAGTTAAACGGAAATTGAGATTAAATGTGAAGGAGGCAATGTGGCAGGGAGTCAGAATAAGGTGTCAGGCCACCGTGTTACTGATCTGGAAGGGGCTTCCTCAGGCAGGCCTCATTTTAGAAAAGTTACAAAGGGTCACTTCTGTTTTATTCTTACTAAAAGTATGTGTGATCATTGAAGAACAGGCCCCTGGTCCCCCTTGAGATCACAGTGTTGTGGGGGCTGCTTCCAGACCTTTGTGTGGACCAGCAGACACGTGCTCTTGTCCACATGTGTTCTTGTCTGCTGTTTGTACTGAATAATTGATCGTGTCCATCTTTCTCTGCTAATAGATGTTAGTTCACATTATTTTAGTAGCTTTTTAATATGTGATTAAGTGGCTACCCTATATATCTTTTTTATTTTTTAGAGATAGGGTCTCACTTTGTTGCCCAGGCTGCAGTGCAGGTGGCACCCTCACAGCTCACTGCAACCTCCAACTCCCAGCCTAAGCGATCCATCCTCCTGTCTCAGCCTCCTGAGTAGCTGGGACTATGGGTGCGCACGACGATGCCCAGCTAATTTTTAAATTATTTTTTGTAGAATTGAGATTTCACTGTGTTGCTCAGGCTGGTCTTGAACTCCCGGCCTCAAGTGATCCTCCTGCCTTGCCTTGGCCTCCCAAAGCCTGGGATTATAGGCATGAGCCACCGTACCTGGCCTGGGTGCCCTATTCTATACAAGCCTAATGCTGGGTGTTTTTTTTCCCTTGAATATTTAGCTGTTATAATCAATGAGCTGTCATAGACTCTTAGTGGCATAATCTTTGAACACTTTCCTCAGAGTGAATTTCTGAAGTGGGATGGCTGGGTAAGTGGTATTTCCATTTTCTGGAGTTTGGCCTTTGGAAGACAAACGTTGCAGTTTATTGTACTTCTGTGAGCAGTGTCAAGACAGTGCCAGTCTTGACGTGCTTACCTGCGTGCCACATCACTGCCCTCCTTTGCTGATTGTGCATGCAGAGCAGAGCACTCCTTCCCGCTGCTGCTGTTGTGGTGACCAGTGTCTTTGTCACCACTGTGTGGCCAGCTCCCGTGAAGCCAGTGTCCAGAGAAGATGTCAGCGAGTGCTGTGGGCTCTTTCCTCCTCAGCATTCTGCAGCTGTTTCCTCAGTTTCTCTCCATAATTGCTGCAGTAGCATCTGACCTATTTCAGGGAAGAACCTGGAACTTCTAGCAGGAGGAGTCGCGAGCGAGAGGTGGCAGCCCAATGGGGGCGCCATCTGAGCTTCGTGTGGAGCAAGGTGCAGACGAGCCCAGGCCTCCTGCAGTGAGCAGGTGCTGAGTTGATGAGCCATCACCTGCTTCCTTCCCATCACCTGGGAAGATAAAATGACATTGTATCTCAGAGTCACCTGCTGGGCCACCTGTTAGCCTGGAGTGGTGTGTTTTCATACCATTGACTTACAGCTTCTGACCCCTTGTTACTGGTAAAGCATGGCTGTAACCTCCACTGTCATTTGGACTGAAATTTTTTGTCTTTCTTCATGTTTTTGGGTCCTTAGGGCTGGAGGTTGGAAATCCTATGGTGGGATTTGTGCTTCCCCCTGGTTGTTGGGCTGATGTTTGTAGAGATAAGAAGCTTCCCGTGCCCTTCCAGATGGCAGCAGGTGGGGACTCACTCTTTTCAGCAGGTTGTGAGGAACTTGCTCCTTGGCTTTGTGCAGGTTCACTCCAGTGCTGTACGGCAGTTTCCTCGTCTCACAGGGGAGAGTGTCTGTCTGTAGGGCTGCTTTGCGGATTAAGTGAGGTGGCCTTGGTAATGCATCTGGCACAAAGCAGCCCTCCATCATCCCCGGGGGTGTGGCGCTGTGGTGAGAAGAGTCTGGTGGCTGGTTGTGGGCCGGGGCTGGGGAGAGGTCTCCATGGGCAGAAGGGCAGCTCTCAGAGCGTCGGCGGGAAGCCTGTGCGGGAGAGCCGCATGTTC